TTGATTAATTTGTTGTTCTTTGGCATTTGGTAAATTACCAAATTAAATATTTATTATTATTGGTATTTGTCGTGTAGTTCCCGGTTATAAATAGCATCGCTCTAATATTTCTGCGAGTAGTAAAATATCATGGGTTTCGAGATTTTTACACATTGAAAATGAAACTATTTTTTTTGTCTAAAGTGCTTGTCAGCCATGACCATGGAAGGTTCCACTAGATAAACTTGATAAATTAGATAAACTTGTAAAAAGTCCCAAAACGTTGATTTATTTGAAAAAACATATAATAGGAGTTTAAATATGAAATTATTGTCTATTTTTCGCACTGGCCACTTTGACATAAAATTAAACCTGTATGGTGTTAGATTTCAGACTGTAAATTTTTTCACACGAAAACTATAACATTCATAATTAAAAGAAACGTAACATTTCATTGTTTTGCTTTCAATTGTTTTTACATTTAGCTTTTAACGTGAAGATGAACACAGCGAAAATCAGGGGAACCACCAATTTTTTGCACGAAAAAAATGTTTCCCAGGAAGTCTCACACAGTTTGTACATTCAGTTCCCCTGAGTTCTATAGTAAAGGTTTATATGATCTTTCGATTAGATGGCAAAAATTTATTTAAAAAACTGCCAAGGAGTACAAATGTCATTGCAATCTTTATAGCTTTGCCGAACGACAATCAAACACAGTTGGATGTCATTTCGTATACTATAGCGTGCAGTATACCGTAATATTACTGTATTGGTAAGTACTGTGTAATTGTATATAAAGTTTTTGTTTCTTTTGCCACCACAAGAAATACAATTATATTTACAAAATATAGCTAGATAGATAGGTATAATAGATATATAGATCATATGGTTCAACTACAACAAAATTGGACTATAAGCAAACGTCCGAAGTTTCTAAATTTTATAAAAACTTGATATTACAAGAATCCGCAAGATGCGATACGCTTCCCCATTTATATGACAGACGGTTAAGGAGTGGAATTCCCTGCTTGCAGACTTATTCCCTGAGTGCTATATCTGGACATTTTTAAGGCGAGAGTGAATAGCCATTATTTAGGAGTACAATATGTTTCATCGTCAGCCGCGTCGTCGCTTTCCATCAGGTGAGATGGAGGTCAAATGCGCACTTATTCTTTTACTTTTACATAAAACAAAAATCCTTTTAAATACTAGAAACTAAGATCTTACCAGTTTTAGAAAGTTAGTAATTTAACTATAAGTAACTAAATACTTTTTTATTAATGAAATTTTGCGTTACAATATGGTGCCCCTGCACCACTGGCATTTTACCAAGGGCCCCCATTCCAAAAGATACCGAATCGATTGTACCTGAATAAGTACATTTTAAAGATCTAATTCTTTAAAGACATGAGAATTTTAGTAGCAGTAGAACTTCTTGTGAAATAGTTCGTTCGGGTAAGTACTGCCATATTTGGGCATTACTGCGTTTTGATTTTGAAGGGTAAGGGTGCTGGTGAAATTACAGGTGCAAGGAACATGTCAAATGTGACTCAGGTTGACGGGCTCAATGGCAGTGCCCCGTCTTGCTCGTCCCGTCAATTGGTTTCTATCATAAAAAAAAAGAATTGGGGCTTCATACACGCATCAGTTATGACAGTGGTATTACATTTTATAATTAAATACATCAAAGCATCCTTGTTCATGTCTTGTGCGACAATTAAGTACATAGACGTAATTCTGCAGCTTATCACAATGCCGCATTACAACGAAATGTTTTCACCCGAAATTCTTATCTTATCATATCAAGTCGCTGACCGAACGTTTCGGCACTACTTGACTAAGGTCATGGTATATAGTGCTGTCCTCTTCTATAGTATGTATTTGTAATATATCTGTATTCTTCGCACAGTGAACAATGCGCCTTGTTAGTGCAGGTGATGAGCTAAAAATTTATTAGCTGTGCTGTGTATTTTGTTTGCCTACATTTAAAGGTTAAAGAAAAATTTTTTGATATATTGCGCTTCAATTGGATGCATGTTTTTGAAATTATAAACAAATTTTAATAATGATTCCAACCATTGATCATAAAGAGTCATAATAGAAAAATAAAAACAAATTATAATATTTTAAAATATACATACATATCGAGTTCTTAAATTTTCGGCACATAGGAAATGAAACTATTTTTCTGGATGTAAATCGAATTATTTTTCAAACACAACAACGTTTCGGACACTTTACAGATATCAACCGTTGATTTGTTTGAAAAAAAAAACATCGATTTAGGTAAGAAGAAATTTTCTAAATTCATACTACAAACAACCAAATATATTCTTTTAAAATTACTTCTTTTTGTGTATGTTTACATACACATACATTCTAAATAAGTTAAACAAATAAAAGAAATGTTCGCGGTTTAAACAATAAAGATAGCAGACGACTAAAAGGGTGGAAGCAACGTCGTTCATATATAAAACAGCAAAGAGAAAAAAATGCACCCAAACAATCCCCCGAAACCCAATCTAAAAGTAAAAGCCAACACACATTTATGTAGAACGGACCTGACCTTTCCAACGAGACGTTGTTGGACGTCGACGCTCGAATCGCAGGTCATTCACCGAGGCCGAACACATTCGGCAGGACTCGTCGGGCAAAAAAAAAACACATCACTTTCGCTCGATGAAAACGAAGACGAAAATTGTATGCCGCCCTTTTTTGAAAAGGAAACTGTTTTCGAACTTGAAATTTGAGTTTTTAAAAAGGGAACGTTTTTGTAAACGACATTCAATTGTTTTTAATTTTGTTTGAGTCTAAGCGTCAAAAGCATTGTAATGGCAACTTGTACTTGTACAGGAAGTATCATTGTCTTTATAAGACAAATGAAATCAAAGTTAGATATTATCAATTGTTTTAATTTAGTTATGTGTTTTGAGCTGATTATGGATAAATTTACCGATACGTATTTATATGATTCGTCTTTTGTTTTGTTATTTTCGAACCTGGATGTCATAATAAACATCATAGTTTGGATTAAGTTATAATAACAGACGCAATTAAACAACTTCAGTGGCTAATCATGTTTTTAAAAATTAGAATAAGGAGTGAAAACATAGAAGTGCGCATAAATTTTTTATCTTTTTTTTATGGTACTAAGTGACGTCAATCCATAACAGTTTCAGTGCCAGATCTGAGGGGCACTGCCATTGTGCCCGTCACCCTGAGACGTTACTTGACAAGTTCCATATGCCTGTAATTTCTTGCTCACAGTACTGCTTGGCAGTAGAAATAAGTAAGGTGGCAGTGCTTCCTTGGACGAACTCTCTCACAAGGAGCTCTACTGCTACTAATTTCCTACTTAAATTAAAAATCTATGATATAATTTCGTCGTTTCTGTCTATTGGTATAATAATAACTGTTAATAACCCTTTCATTCCCCCGTTTCTGAACCCACCGAGTTAGATATTCTTATTAATATCATAACAGGTTTACTGTTAGGTTTGTAATAAAATGAAGTAGGTATTATTTGTTTTTAACAGCTCGTAAGTACCTACGGTGACTTTGTTTTAACATTGTTGTTTACATTGACCTGATTTATTTTATGATTTTGCGTTCTGATTACGTTTCGAATTACATAATAATTGTAGAAGTACTAACCTAGTTTGATTGATATTTTTACAAGAAAATTGTACATGTACATTTTTGTTACAAAGTACATTTTAACTATAGAAATTTAAAAAGCTTGAAAAGCCGAGATACGGCGGAACAAAAGAGTCGAATGACGTAATCGTTTTGGAGTTTTTTTGGATTTTGTAGCTCTGCAAATATGACCCTTAAGAATAGCCCAAATCATTTGGAAGATTTACTTTATAACTTTCACAGTACAGATATATTGTAATAAAAACAAAGATGTATACAGTTGTGTAAATACAAAGGAAGTTAATGATAGCAAGATAATCGAAAGCTTTCGACAGATCCAAGGCGACAAAACCAGCAAATGGCATCCTGCCAATCTTCGCGGGCCAGGAACTAATCTCCTGGCGCTTGATCTAGACTTTTTGTCTATATTTATATGATGAAAAGGACTAGATTTATCATTTATGTTTGTAATAGATTGAGAGAAACGAATAACTTTTGCGTTAATCGATGATTTCGAAATTTCGTGTAGAACAACGCCTATGTATATCAATATTTCTTAGTTTATTTTTAACTCCATTTTGAGGAAATCTAAAAAGTTTATATGAAATAGAAACAAATTTATTAAAACATTGTGCGATAATTACAAAAACCTAATAACTGGATAAAACAATATTTGTAACAAAAAGCTAATTTGATATAAAATCGCTGGACAAACAAAACGTCAGCAAATAGAACTTACCGTCTGCCCTACATTAAAAACCATGAGTCTATTATTTACTAATCAACTTAATGCTCATTTCGAGATGAAGATTTAATTTGTATGAAAGTTCCAACATTTGTTTACATACAATTTCATCGTTTAATTTGTTCTGGCAGCCATTAAATACCTAACGATATAAATAATAAATAGTATAGAAATAAATCGCAATTCTAAATCTAAATTCAGATGTGCTTCCTTTTAGCCTTATTCAATTTCTTTGACAATAACATCCGTAGTAGTCGTACACGGTGATGTAACCCATGAACTTGGGGAATTAGTTGGACCATATTTGCCCCAGAATGTGGAAGGGCAATCTATGACGCCATTTAACAATGAACAAAGGGCACCCATTGTCTCCACCAATCGCTGGTTTTTCAATAAAAACAAACTACCGGTTGAGTCAGTCATGAACTATTCTATATCTCAAAGATCGCGCTTGTAACATGTAACCGATATAAAATTACATCGCGAGCGCGTTCCGAACGCACCATCGGCCAGTTTATTGACGCCGCATCCGTCTGAACTTGAGTTTAAGCCTCTGTGAATGTCATCTAGGCTCAGTGCAACTGCAGTTCTGTGCACGCGAGCACGATCTATGCACGGCCTCGCGCGCCCACACCGGCACCGCCTAACCTAAAACTCAAAATTAGAAAATCCAGTGACAGTGACACCACCAATTTTCAAATTAGAATGTGAAATGCATGTAGTGGAAACCGCGCGGGGGAAAGAGAAAGACTATCCTCCCCGCGCTTCTATTTCGGTGACGTCGGTCGGTGCATAGCAAAATAAAATAATGAAAAGAGGCATTCAGTAAATTCGTTGTGTTTACGCGCGTTGCTAGTTTATTCGGTTATCGTTCGTTTTCTCTCGCATCTTTCGAGTGCAAGTGGCGCCACCTGGACGTGTCCCATATACAGTGTAATACACAATACACATGGTGGTACTGATGGAGCTGTCAAAACAAACTGCGGAGGTGAAGCCGTGACGATGTGTGGAGATGTGTGTTTTTGGCTTGGTGAAACCGTGGCGGGCTCGTGAGCCGGAAAATTGTGCTAGCGGTGTTTTTTTCCAAAGTTAACCTACGACGAAGTTCAGTTGCGCGCGAGCCGCACGCGGCGCGCGTCTCATCCTAAACGAATACCTACGAAAATTTCCCGAACGGACCCCGAACTATAAAAGGTGCGAGATTCGAATTCGCCAATTCGAAACTTGTCGAGCGAAACTGAAAAGTGCCGGAAACTTTTCCACCAACAAATTAAAAAGGAACAGTTATATATATTTTTTATACATTGCTCAATTTTGTGATTTAAGCCCTAAACTAGGACATAGTGCCTTGTACAAACTACGAATTGTGATGTAATAGTGCAAACTTAGCAACTAGTGTGATAGTGAACTTATTTTTGTAAACAGTTATTTTTGGAAAACTTCTTAAGTGCTTATGGACAAAAACTATCGTCTGCTGTAAGTACATATATAGTTAATGACAATATCTAAATATATATATATATATATAAATAAGAACCTTTTAAGACCGTCAGTCTTAATCTATGAACTTGATTGTATTCAGGTGAAGTTTGCTGCAAGTTGGTTGCATTGCGACTTTGCGAGTGCAATATCACGTATGTGTTAAATGCATTTTGGTTTTTACAAACTATTTTGAACCTTATCTCGCGTGTTACACTATAAAATTTAAAGTTCAATTTTGTTTGTGTACATTCTTCTATAGGGACTTTTTGAATGTGTGTTTTTTCGCATGCATAGGTTATTTTGCGTCTCTGTTCATTGTGGCGGTACAATGGCCTTCGTGGTATCATATACTATGTATACTAACCAAGTAGACTTTTGCATGAATCTAGTTTCGAAAATAGTAATTAATGACGACTATTTCCTGAAGCTTAACTGAATTGCGCATTACAAACTTTATTTTTAGGTTCTTTGTTCTTAAATTCCACGTCACCAATTAAAAAAAAATTTAAAATTAAAAAAAAATATTCCACATAGCATTATTTATCTACAATTGTTATTGCAAAATTTGTAGTTATTATCATCAATTTTAATTAGGATAACTATATGTATACACTAATATATATACATCAGATATTATGATATAAGTACTCAATTTACTACTAATTGTACTATTAAGTACTTAATTATAAAATAACTAATATCGATACCAGAAGTATCACTCAACGTAAGGGACATTTTGTGGAAAATGAGTTACATATATCATTGGATTCGGAAGTTCCCGCTCTATCGATTGGTATTATTAAAATTTAGGAATGCCCAGTGGTTTAAAATATAGCATGTTCCTTACATTAAAAAAGGATGTTTAGTTACCTTACGTTACTAATATTTTATGTGTAAACCGTAAAGGATACTTTACAATAGAATTACGTATAATTTTCTATTTCTCTTATTGCTTACACAATGCTCAATGGTTTACAGCATGAAAAAAGAGGAAATTCTAAGAAACATTGCTCTGGACACAATTAACATTGGAGCAGACAGTAAATGGTTATAGACAAATTTAAAAAAATAAAATCGTTTTTTGGCTCTCCTGAAAAACCGTGGTTAGTTCCTTACATTAATTGATACTTCTGGTATCGATATATTACGTAACAATTACTCCTTCGGGTATTTTTTTCCATTTTCCCATAGCGGTTATTTATCAAACACACAGGTTGACCATTCAATAATGCGACATATTTAAAAACAATTATATAAAGCAAAAAAGTAAAGACTTTTCGTAGTACAGCTAAAGCCGTAAAACTGTCAGAATTCTTTGTTAGAAATTATGTTTCACAGTAATACTTTGTTTACCGTATAACATGACTGAATAAACCCCATTTTTGGACTTGGAAAAATTTAGGTGTTTAAACCACCTCTCTAATAATTTTTCAGTAGCCTGGAGGTACTTTTTAAATAGGAAATTTGAACGCTATGTGAATGGCAATAAGATACAATTTTGAATAACGAATTTTGACACGCGGTCTTTGGAAACTATTAATGAAGGAAATAATTTAGCTGTTAAAAGTATCACTATCACCTTAAATACTATATTGTTACTTCTCCTAATTGAGACTTCATTCCTATGTATTTCATGTACCTAATAGGAATTTAGTATAGAATATAGGAACTACAAAGAAACTATGTAATAAATTGTAGGCAGGCATAATTAATTACAACGCCTGTGAAATGGAATCCAATTAAAAAGACGTACTTTCTTTAATTTCTTCAAGTGAAAGAAAGAGAGATTGGATGAAATATTTTGTAACACTCTCAGGTCTGTCCAGTGTCATGTAAGTGTAAGTTACCAGTAAACTTCCAGGTGTACTGTGCAGGGCCTTATTTTTCAATTAAGTCGCCCTTCTCGAAACAAAATTGGCGCCCCATTTCTTTAACATCGCACACATATAATAAAAAAGCAAAATGTTCGTATGTTAGGAACAGTATCTGTATTTATTTTTATGATACGAAATTACGGGAGAAACGAGTCGTGCTCCTGGTGGTAAGCGACACGCCTGTCCTTAGCAGTTGCAGTGTCGCTCTGAGCTTTAGATCGCCAAGAGCACCGCCACTGCACCCGTCACCTTAAGATACAAGTTCACAAGTCCCATGTGCTTGTAATTTCAAAAGCATCTTATGATCTTATCCTTCAAAATCGAAACACGGTAATGCTCACATTACTGCTTGGCTGCAGAAATGGGTAAGGTGACAGTACTTTCCTGGACGAACCTTTTTACAAAGGGCTCTACTGCTAATAAAAGTGTCTCCTCGACGATTAATCAGGTCATAGTAAATAAACAACATAGAACTTGACAAATATGCAGAACACTGCAATGATGGCGCCCAATTAACTCTAGTGATTTATTGACAATAAATTAGTTCACGCAGGCAGGCATGGTAAGCTGAAGGCGCTGGTTTGAATACAGTAAGATCGAAGGAATTTTTCTTAAGGTTTGATCTTTGTATTAATAATTATAGCAAACTAGTGTAACTATTCCACAAAAAAACTGAATATTACGGTAGTCAAACATTGTGATAAACTTAATAATAAATGAGTTTTTTTAAAAATAACTCCTGATGCAAAAAGGGAGGAGTTATACATTTGAAATCTTTGTGTATGTATCAGTCTGTCTGTGGAATTTTAGCTCTCAAGCAAATGAATTGAACGGGTTTTTTTATTTGAAGGCTATTTCATCGGAATGCCGGATTCATTCCCTAATTTTACACCCTTAGAAGTGGGATATTTTCTTCAAATTTGAATGGGACATACATTACATTGGGACATACCTGAATTGTTCACATCAACTTGCAAGTATCGAGAATGGGTAGGGAAAAAATATTATCCACACGGTTTTTACCATAACTAACTTAAAATAAAAAAAGCCGTTTTTCTTTTCAAATGTTATATTGTCTATGGTCCTTTTAAAAATAACATTCAGCAAGCATTTTATAGAATAGGCGGGAAAGTTTTTATGTTCAAAAATTCATAAAAAACACACAGAGCTGTTGAATCGATTTGTCGCATTTCATCCTGATAACGCCAAAACCATACACATCTTTACAAAGCCGTCAAAAAACTATTGCATTTAGTTTGGGATGTATTACCTCATCCACCATATTCGCCCTGCGTAGCCCCATCAATTTTTCCCTTGTTTCGATCTTAACAAAGTTCTTTGAATGGACATTATTTTAATAACAAAGAGACTATTAAATGACACTTACATGAGCTATATTTTATAAGTAAAGACAGAATATTTTGTGAAAGGGTTTAATCAAAAATTACCCTAAAAGTGTCAACGTCAACTGTAAACATGGTCAGTTTGTAACTTTTTTTTGATTTTGATTACTTACTATTTTGATGTTTTTCATTTGATACTTAAATACCGCAAAGACATTTTGGCCAACCCAATTATTTTTCCTCCTACAAAATTAAAATACTTTCTATCTTTAATAATTATTATGAGTAATTTGTTGTGAAAATACATAAAAACTACAATAGAAAGTCCAATATAAAATTCCCACTCTTCAGTTATAGATAAAAGATATCTCAAAACATGTTTATATGTACTCTTATTTAATGAAAACGGCTTACTTTGGACACTGAAACAACGATATTAATTTTTGGCATTAATGCATTCGTGTCAATGGTTAATGTCAACAAAGAAGAAAATATTTTTTAATTTTTTTTTCATTAGTCCTTTATGATTTCATCTTTAGATAATATGTTTCAAACATTCAAAGTAAATGATGTTTCTAAAAAGTTGTGGTTACCTAACCTTACCGCCTTTCAAGCAGGTGCCGTGGGTTCGAATCCAACCTCGTAAGTCTAAATTTTCGGAACTTATGTCACAAATTTAATTTTTTTATGTTATCAAGTGACGGGACGAACAAGACGTGCGCCTGATGGTAAGCGACACGTCTGTCAATAACTGTGCCACTCAGAGCTTTAAATCGCAGTTTTGAGGGGTACTGCTACAGCGCTTGTCACCCTAAGACATAAATTGAAATCCCACGTGCCTGTGATTTCACCAGCACCTTTACCCCTCAAAACTGGAGCGCAGTGCTTCACTCGACGAACTGTTTCACAAGGGGCTCTACTGCTACTAAATTTGAAATTTACCATGAATTATATTATTTTGATGAAGGGAAATATCGTGATGAAACCTTTGCACGTTGAAGAAGGTTGACAACCCGCGGAAAACGTATGAAGTCTCCAATGCAAATTGGGCCAGCGTGGCAGACTATGATCTAAGACCACCCTTGCCTGAGACCCATGCCCAGCAGTGGGATGTGTAAAATATTGTTGTTGGTTGATGATGATAAGGTTTCAAAAATTCAGTTGTAAAAGTAAACTGATCTTTTTACTCTAAATGATGTTAGCATATTTACTTCGGCATTCAAGACCTTATTCCCCCAAAAGAAAGGGTTATGAGATTATAGACTTCGTAATTATCTTTCCTCTCTTTAATAACTTTCCACTCTCTCTCTAAATTCAACAATCTCTCTAATTATCATAAAAGATAATATCTGCCGTCCACTAACTTATATGCAGCTAAGTGACAAATCGAATGTGAACTGCCAATCGGTACTATCTCAATTTTGACAACTTTACGGGTGAGGAAAAAAAATTGTTTGCGTCATTTATATAGCATCTGGTTTATTAAATAAAAATACGTAGTTTTTAAATACTTTTATTGCACATTTATGTATGTACATTACGTATTTTTATTTAATAAACCAGATGCTATATATCAATTTGTTTTTTCATCCTATAAAGTTGTCAAAATTGAGATAGTACCGGTTGCCAATTCACAGTCGAAATGGTCAAAAAACTAAATACTAACTAAATAAATTTGGGACGCAGTAGTTCTGTAATTATTTCAAATAACACTAAAGAAATGGTATTTTTTTACTGAGTTAGAAATAATGTTACCCTGTATATCAATATACATTTT